ACTACTTCCTCGGCTTCACTTTCTCCGCATAAACCTCTAGAGCCTTCCGTAAACTCAGCAAAAGCTTCCTTCATAGCCAAACCTGTAGCTGGTTTATCACTCCGTTCATATTTAGGAGCCGGAACAACAAAAGGCAACACAATATCATCGATCTTAGACCCGTCACACGAGTCCATTTCTTCATGAGGTGGAGGGAAAACGAAGACAATCCCAAGCTCGTAGTTGCATACACGAAGTTTATTGACCATTCTGATGGTATTGTGTGACTGGTGGTCCTGATTGCTCCTGGATGATCTGGAAATGGTCTGTCCCCAGGCAGCTGCACTGAAATTATGTGAGCCGCAGTAAACCCAACCAAACGAAGAAGACCGTGAACCTCTCATTGAGGTGAAAAGTCTCCTAGCCACCTGTTCATAGTTTATAAAGACATTTTACTATTGTGTAAGAGTTTGCTAGTTTTCGCCAACTCGCAAGTCTTTTTATCGTCACACAAAGTTCTCCTTTGTACTTACCTTGATATGCATCGGGTGCCCGACTCTGTCCTGAGGATTAGGAACTGCATCGTGAAGCACATTGTTATATCTCAACTTTTGCCAGGTTTTCTGAACAAGATGGTAAAAAAAAAACCAAAAAGTATCAAACACCTTATTGAATCAGTCCAACTTCAAAGGTAATAATAGTACTTGAATCTATCCATGAATTTTCCACCACTTCAAATCCAAGTCAAGTTCAAAAGAATCCAAATCAATCCCTTTTTTTAAAGCGACAAATGCTTTGGGCATAATACATCCAAATACCTCGGAGAAGCAAAGCAGGCGTCTTGAAGACAAGACACCATGATAGCCATTCTTGACTCTTTCAATAGTAGGAAAGATGATTTTAATGGAAGGAGCTTCCCGTTCTTCCCTAGCACTCCAGCATCCCCACTGATCAAGAACATCAACCGAATGTTTTATGCACAAAACTTGTGGTGACAGCTTTTAAGGGTGCTTTGAATCAAAATAATACCTCTGGATCAGATTCCTGGGAGTCAAAATGCTGTAACGCTTTTTTACCCGCAGCTGATGAAAAATCAGCTTGAAATCCTGCAGTTGCTGAGCCTCCAATCGAGGATGCACCTATTACAAGAAAGGAAAAACTATAAACTTAATACTCTATCAAGGTATTTGTCTACCATTACCATTGAAAATGAACTTACTGTAGATGAAATCAGATTCCTGAGATTCGGGCCACTTGTAACGACCTAACACCTTTTGAGGGACACAATACAGAGATACAGTTAAAACTGATTCACTCTCCTTAGAACTCAAAGGGGTTTGAAAGCAGGATTCTTTGTTCTTATTAGTAATCAAACTTACCTCTTGTAGCCTCCAAATGCCAGTACATCTCTGAAGTGACGCGATCAACGAGCACAACGCGGGAACGTGATGAGGTTGAATCAGGTTTGCCACATCTGAAATGGACTCTCCCTGCAAAAGTCAAGAGAGATCTTCAGATGTATCCATAGTCTATTTATGCAATGTATCTGATTAACATATGAAGAGTACCAAACCTGTAATACATGCAGCATTAGTTGCACCTTCTGGTTGCTCCTACAAGAAGCAGCTCCGAGGACCTCATCCCAATATACATACCCCACAAATTTAAAGAACCCACTATCCCACAAAGGAGAAACCCATTTTGCAATATTCCGTGGCAAAAAGCCTAGTTGGACACAATCTGACACAAGGCAATTACAAGTCACAAAGTGAAAATTCATGTCAATGAACATACAACCATCTGTAATACATGAAACTGCTTACCATCTCTGGAATCATCATCAGGGTTAGGAACAAGGACACTCACAGCATTCGTATCAGCAGGCACATTGGTATTTCTTCTCAAAACAAGTTCCAACATTCCGAGAGAATTTTCCCGAGTTCTGCTAATATATAAAGCCAGTCGTTTCAGTTGTGCTCCTGTGGAATCATTGGCAGAACGAAAAAGGTAACTGAGGCCAACGACAGATGCTTCAACAGACCCCAGAAATTCTTCTTTGAAAGACTGTTCAACAAAATCATATGACTAGTCAAGAAAGGGATGCAATGACCAAAATTTCTAAGACATGGGACACAATCAAACTGAGTATTCTTTAAATCAACTAAGTCAAACAATAAAAAATTGAGTTCACGATATTGATACTAATGAGAGAATCCATACATAAATGATGGAAGATGAAACTACTCACAATATTTGACAGAGTAGTAAGATAAGACGGCTTATAAGAATGAACTCCAGGCACTGAAGCCACAAGGTGACCCGCTGAGTTTTCAAAGTTGTACTTTGTGAACTCAAAAATCCAATGGGCCTGACTTGGAACATCAGTCAAAAGCGATGCAGCAAATCCAGCCAGCTGAGCACTAAAATCTGACCTTAAGCAATGATTGGTTTCTCTTTGGCAATTGTCAAAAAGAGATAAAACATCAGGGTTTGCTCTTCGCGGAAAATCTTGCCACCAAACTGTGTTGGTCACGTCATTCCACTAGAATTATAACTCTCCATTAGAATATGAAATATAATAAAACTCTCTGAATATACCTGAAACCTCACAGCCCATGTAATGCACAAGACTCATCTATGATTCATTTTCATTACTATATACTTAGGCCTACACTCTCACCTGTCTTGCTACTAAGTTCGCAGATGTAATAACTACACGGATGCTATCTTCTCTTTGCAATATAAACAGCTTGGGGTGATGACAAGCAATGCCGCGGTTCTTGAGATCTTTCCCAAATGCAATATCCTCGGGAAATGGTGGAAACCTAGGACAAGATGGAAACTATTTAGAAAAGAAGTAATGAAGTATCAATAACAAACCAGAAAAACAACCATGCAACAACTCCTTTAAAGGGATACATGATCAAGTAGTACGTACACCACAGCTACATTTGGGTACTCTGGATAAGGAGCAGCAGTTCTTGCATCAGGGCTTGATCTCCAACATCTCTCAGCATGATGACATGCAATAGTCACCGGCAAGTGGCTCGGTATCTCACAAGAGGTAAGAAACCTGCTGATACAACTTTGTCAGACTCTTGAACAAGCATGGGGAGCAAATGAGGATATAGTATCCATTTCTTCTGTTTAGACTTCTATGGAAAATATTAAAAAAAAAACTTAAAACTTTTTTCAACATACCATAAGATATCACTTGTAAATGTTGCAATAAAGATTTTTGAAATGCTTTCCACAGGGTAAAGAAGTTCAGGCAAGGACACCACCCGCTGACAACCGCTTGAGTTTTCTTCAATATACTGGAGACGGTTTAGATAAAAGTTCTTCCCAGGTGCTTGGAGAGAACTTTGATAACTTCTCTCCTTATCGATACAACTAATTTCGGGAGCGTTTTCTTTTTCCTCTTCCAAAGGAAGCATAGTCTTTGTCTTATCACTAACAGATATAGACACAGCACCGTGAATTTCTAACTCGCTAACCAAGTTTGAGACACCCAGTCTTCTACCTATATGTAATTTTGGGCTTGGCTGTTCATCCCTCGCCCTTAAACCGGAGAAACTATCTCCTATCTCATGATTTGTCTCGGCACTCTTTACTTCTCTATTATCTACTTTTGACCTTAACAGTTTCGATGTACAACAAGATAGGCGTTCCTTTCCAGAATCTGATATAATGGATTGCCTAAGGCAAGATACAGGATCATCACTGCTCAAAACATGTCTACAATAGCTTACAAGAGAATTCAATCTCTCAATACCCACAACAGCTTTAGTTGGATAAAACCCATAAACAGGAGAATTAATTTCGTTTTCCATCGGAGCAAAAACCCTTTTGCTTCTCTTCCCACTGGAAAAAGTCCCTCCAGAATGTCCCGAAGAAACCGAAGCTCCAATCATTCGACATCTATCTCGAGAAACCGAACTATCTCTTCCTTCAAAATCAATCCCTTGAACCACAAACCCAACTCTACCATGTTTA